GAGTACACAAAAAAGGTAGATTATCCCACAACAGATGAGGATAGCTACGAGATGTGTGAAGAAACAACTTCGTTGCTACAAAGCGGAATAAATCGAATCAAATAAGGGAAAGAAAATCTCACAAAACTATACAAAGAGATAAGAGAAGAATACAGCAACTGCAAGAGTAAGTCCGACAAAAAGGAAATAATGTTGGAAATCGAACAAATCGAGAGTGAGTCGCAGTTACATAAAGAACTGGCTGCTGCAGATGAACTCATCTTTATTTTAAGCGCACGCTATGAATGTAGGTGCGTAAGGGATCGAATGAGTGTAAAACTCGGCTACGTTTCTCGGAGATCCCTAATACTGCAAGATACCTCACGTGAAGGTCCAGATCACCAAATTGATCAAGAGCAGAATCACAATGACGTCGAGGCAACCCAAAGTATTGAAAGTAACCATTCTCAAGGTACATCTAATGCAACTACCATTGAGATGACTAACGATAATGTCAGACCTCATCGCTCAATAAAGCCTCCTCAAGCAACGCTACCGAAATTTTATGGCAATGCTGAGGATTTCCAGGAATACTGGGCAATTTTTGAGACCCTCGTTCATAACAGTCACGAACTAGACGTTATGGAAAAGATTTTGTTACTCAAGGAAAGTCTAAGAGGCAGAGCCGAAGCCTCAATAAAAGGGATACAACTCGTACCACAAAACTACGAGTGGATTATCCAAACTTTGAAGGAGAACTACTGCAACCAGCCTGCAAATAGGACACAAGTGGTGCGAAAACTGGCCAACTTGAAGCCAGCAAGCAATTCCGCCGACAGTTGTTCAGCCGTGTTCGACCAAATCCAGATATTAATTAATCAGATGGTGTCCGCCGGCTATGACGTGCGCAAAACCTGTGACCCCATGTGGTATGACACAATACTGGCAAAGTTTCCACGCAACTTAGTGAAGCATGTCCTACTTTCGAATCATACGCAAGATGGACAAACAAACGAATGCCTCATAGGTGATCTGAAGAAAGGGATTACCGCTAAAGGTTTCGTGGAAAACAGATTAGGCCCCAAGCCTGACATCAAGGGCACCGCTCCGAAGGATAAGTACGTCAACTCACGTCCTTACTCGAGCGACCAATGCCTGTTCTGTCATAAGGGTAATCATGCCTCGTTAACATGCAGAACCGTAACCGATCAAGGGAACCGCAGAAAAATACTAACAGACGGTCTTAGATGTTGGAAGTGTTGCTCATCCAATCATAGCAGTTTCTACTGCCAAAAACCCGATTGTGCAAAATGCGGACAAAAGCATCATGCATCTGTTATGTGATTTAGATGTGAATGATCCGTAGATGGTCCGTGACAAGGACTGCTATCAAGTGATGAGGGCTGATAGGGAACCACTGCGTCCGCATTACCCTTCATGTTGACAGTGGAACCTTAACACACTGGTGTGTGAGTTATGTAAAGTGATTTTGAGTAAAAAAAAAGGGTAATCAATGTAGATCATGACGAGAAATGGAAGATAAGATGGAAAGTAGTGCGATGAAGACGAAGGAACTGCGTGAATAGGTGTTTCCAGAGTGAGAAAGACTTAGAAAAATCGTTAAAAAGGGGGCTGGAGGAGAATGAGACCAGAAAAGGGGGCTGGAGAAGAATGAGACTAGAAGAATGAAGAACAGCGGGAGGCGGGAAGTCCGAGCGATCCAGTAACGGTGCTCCCACCATGTCCTAGCTGTTGAGTTTTCGGGCGCGAGAGGGTCCTTTCTATTACCTTTGAGGGCTGAGTATACCTAAGGAAGAACTCAGTAATTATTTTTATCGTGTACGTTGCCTTCAAAGTTAGTACCATACAGGGAAAATTTTGTTTTTTCTTGCAACCAAACTACGAAGACACACCTCAAGCTTTGCGACTCGATACTTTACCAGTTGTTACAGAACCTATTCGGCCATATGAAAATCTTATATTAAAAACCATGAAGATAACCATTAGAAATTGACTTCCGATAGTGGAGTTGTCACCAATCAATAGCACATTGCATCGGATGACTAGTGCTGCAGAAAAGTCAGCGCGCCAGTAAACTCAATCAATAACAGTGTGGAACTCTCATGGATGGCTCTTGTCATGATCAAGAACAACAGACAGAGTTTTCGTGAGTGCTTGTGTCAAGAATTGGTGCCTGCTATTGGTAGAATTTAAAACTGACCATTTTGGATTCAGAAGTGTACCAATATTGTAAAGAAAAACGGAATAGAGCTTTGTTCCAAAATGGGGAATGTAACATTTCATAAGTTCCGACTCTGTCACAAGAAATGCGGAGGGGTACAGGCCCCCTCGAGCAGATCCAGCTCTCTCACTTCCTACTGCCTACCATCGGTGTCCTAATGCTTCTGCATGTACTCGTGCCGACTTTAACACCCTACGTCGAAATTAGTAATTTTCTCGCACGCCCCATCCCTTAAGGGTGGTGTCAGTTTGTGTCATTACCCGTCAGCGTTACCATGCCACCGACTGTACACCTAGCATAGTTGAGTGCCCCATGTCAAATTCGCCAGTTTTCATGAATTTCCCGCCTAATATGGGTAAAGTTTAATCCTGCCATCCATCATGAGAGCTCCTACAATGTAATCTGTACTCCTGTAGAACTTGATCGCTCTAGGTTCATGGGGAGAGGAGTTATGGATTTTCGCTCAAACATTTATTCCGCGCAGACCATGCCCCTGCAGATGGAGTCGATCTTGCCACCCACCATAACGGTTCCCATCTTACCGCCTGTTATCCTATTAATATTCCTTAACGCTCTAGATCCAGCGAGACAAGAGTTATGAGTTTCCGGCCGGACAAACACACACACCAACAGGCACACTTAGCGGATAATATTAGGTTGATCAAACGTCTTGATAGGGTTGAGATGTTTATCTGTTCCATTTTACATTTCAGTAAACAATGCAAGCTAATTTACATTGTAATAAACATCGTCAATTACAACATTGTCCCACATAACGGGCAGATCAGCGAGTCCCTTCTCCCAGAATTGGGAAGATTGGGAGTCAAAGAAGTCACCGACCATTTGTACAAGGTGGTCGTAGTTGACGAATTGTTTTTGGGACTAGGGAAACTTCGAGGGGCCGCAACAAATGGTAATCTGAGGGAGCAATATCAGGTGAACAGGGTGGATGTGGACCCGTGCCCCAGCATAACTCCTCCCAACTCTTTGCGCGGGACCCTTTTCCTCTGAGGCCTAGCGTTGTCGTTAAGGGGGTGCACTGAAGTTCGTCTCGGTCGTCTAGGCCGTTCTTCTCGAATGACCTCCACAAGTTTCTGCAGCTGACCAGCGTAACGGGTCACGGCGACCGTATAGCCTTTCTTGAGCAAAGCGTAGTACAGCATTCTTTTAAATCCCACGAGCAGCAAAGGATAAGCTGGGGTGGAGGCCAGATTGGGCTTGCGTCGGCGACTGTTCTCTTCGAGGGAGCATGACGGCGCAGTGCTTGTTAGCGTCCTAGAAGATCCAGCTTTGATCTCTAGTAATTAGGTCCTTCAGGAACTCCTTGCGATGTAGGCAAAGAAGGAGAGACCGAGTCGCGGTGTACTCATAGAAGGTGATGGCTTGAAGATAATATGGTGAAATTGACATCGTGTTTGACCTCACGTAGGCCCACGCGCCCTTATACACCTTTTGCGGAGAGGCTCCCAAAATGTTTTACAACTATCACGTGATAGATTGTGGATGCAGGTCAGAAAACGAGAGTCCCGCCTTTTCAAAAAACCCTGAAAGGACTTCTATAATATTATAGATTCAACCTGATATACGTAGGATATATATATTTGCATACAGTCGGATCTCCTGCCAAAGACGGGCTTTCCTCCTTATTATGACAGAATGGTAATAACCGGATACTTGACGCGAGTAAAATGGCAGCGCATGGCGTATTCAGTTTGTGCCGATGCTTATGCCTTTGATTAGAAGTCTATACCTATCGCTCTTGATCTTGAGTAATCACCCATTGAAGATTCACCTGTTAAGCAACCAATGCCTTGAATGTAATTCACAAATACTGTGGAGTGATAACGATCCTACAATCAGACGTCATTATCAATGGAGCGTCTTTTCTCAAACGATACATCAGTAGTAGATACCAGAATTACTGGCGGTCGGAGAAGTTTTGTCGCAAACTATATCGGAACAGAGGGAGGCCGTGATTTTTATTGAGTCACGTACACAACTAAATAGCGGTATAATCTAAGAGCGAGAAATGAACCTAAGATTTCAGCTTCTTAATCTCATCTCCCTCACCTGTCTTATCGAATGAAACGTATTAAGAGACATAGTTAGGTAGTAAATACCAAGAAAATTATGATTCGGTTGATAGGCGGCTGCTGCTCTAGCACCCATTATCACCTGTTATCAATTCTACGAGCCCGTCGCATTCTTCCACTCCCAACACGGAGGGCGTTACAGACCTTGTGGCTCCAGTCTTCAATGGCTATTTGCGGCTCTTCACTTGTTATCAGTCCTTGTCACCGATCACCTACGGTCTCTTCACATCCAACTCACCTACTAGAGTTCCAAACCTCAATTTTTAATGCGAAAGGCATTGAAGACCTGGTAACTCGCCTTCTCCAGCTCGTTATCAGCTCCTATAAATTCTTACCAATCCTTTTAAAGAAATATTTACGGTCCCTTCTTAACCCATATCACCGAATGAAGTGCCAGAGCTTCACCGTTAACAGATGAGATGACGAATCTTGCAGCTCTGACCTTCTAAGGCTCCTTATCAGCACCTGTCAATTGCAATCACTTCCCATCACCTACCACCAGTGCTCCACTCTGCCTCCTGTATCCCTTTCATATTCGAACTCTAGGACTCGGGAGACAGGAGTTGTGCATGTTCAATAAACACGCGTCGCATACACAAACCAAGAAACACACTTTACGAATAACATAAAGTCAGATGAAGAAGAAGATGATGAGTTCCAGAAAGTGTTGGTTTCAACCACACAACATGCGTAATGAATCAAGGATAGATTCAAAAGCGCAGCTCACGATAGAAACGGTTTCTGAGATTCTGGGATGAACCTGTGACACCCAACGATAGCTCAAGGAACGCTGTCGGGTTGAAAAACGGCCTGGATATGGCGCAATAAGAGCCTAGCTCACGTACGTGCCCAAAGCGGAAGGTTTCTTACGGCGTTGTGAAGGATTCAGAGGTGGCACCACTTGCACCGAGACGCATTAGTTCCACTCAAGCGACTTGTAGCCACCATGGCACATTCACCAAGCCAGCTCGCTCAAACACCGTCCGTGCAACTGTTGTTATCATAATTTCGTCCAATCTTTAATTTCAATAGTTCCTCAAAGCCTGTTTCTCTGAATACGCCAATTTTTGCTGATTCCCCCGCACTTTTGCACTATACTTATCACTTCCATTATTCGTTTAAAACTAGATACCTAACATTATCGTGAAGTGTGCCTTTAACAGTCCGAAAATATGCGATACTTTCACAAAACTAATAGTTCAAGAATGACAGCCAAATGCCCTTTTAGCGGAATGTTGTTCATTTTCCTATCATTGTTGGAATTGGCCGTTGTTGGGTTCATGTCACGAAACGAGGGCTTGCCTCCCAAGATTAAGAAAAAGCGAAAACGAGAAGATTCCGACGAAGAATTCTCTTGGAAAGGGATTCAATCGAGTCCACATCTTGAGCTACGACAGGTATGCACATAATGCTGCTCTTTCATTATTGTCAGCACTGTTTTGAGTGCTTCTTTGTTTTTTGCCTATTTGTTTTTTAATGACTGAGAGAGTTAGGTGTAAGTTCGAGAAATTAGTACCTTCAGTTTTGGGTGGACAAGCGAATCAACTCTATTCGTAACAGCTCGGACGTGAGTTCCATCTCCATGAAGACAATCGTACGAAGAAAATAAACTGAGCACCTTCAGTTGCCATCTGAAGAACCACCCGGACTTGAGGAGCCGTACCAACCAGTACAAAGAAGTCGTCCAGAACGCAATTTACTCTCAGCGATACGGAAATGGTGGAGGAAGAGCGGGCCGCTAAGGCCAGAAACAGTTGACTTTTACAGGTATGCTGTTTATTGCTTATCGAGCGATTAGCCATAAACTAAACCCCTTTGCTTGCATATTCCAACTGAATCACGGCGAATCTAGAGCATTGTATCAGAGTCTGAGGGTTCTGAAATAAAGTTATTTCGTCTATGTGATGAGCTTTCTGTGATTCGTAATTTCCTTATGTAGTTGGAGGAGAGATGGTAGGGGGGGAGATAGGAGTGGAGAACACCCATGCCCTCTAACATTAGGCGCTGGAGCGCAGGGCAATGCTAGCCGACGCAGCAAATCAGAGCAGCGCTGTGGATGAGATGACTATCTCCTGAGAAAAGTTGGGATGGGTCAATCAATCAAGTGACCGGTAATTTATTCTTTTAAAAGAAGTTAGCGGTTGCTAGCACACCACTCTTGCTTGTGCAAAGCCGGCAACCAAATCTCTATGCTGTTTAGCACCTAGCGTTAGAGGGAAGGGGTGCAAGTTCCTTTGAGATATGGCAAAGATGTAATACCGCGCTTTCGAACCACTTTTTGCTAACTTTTACGCCTTGCTTTTCTCGTGCTGTGATTCTTTCCTGAGACTGTCTCCCTATATATAAAGCGGTAACTTTGGCCCGTATGCATAACGCCCGGGGTAGGGGAGGGAGAGGAAGTGTTTGTTTTCGCCGTGGGTCAGATAAGTGACGCTGGAGCGCAGTATTTTACGCTCCTAAGAGAGTGTTAAATTGATATCCGAAGCTCTATTTCTCGATTAGATGAACCGGAATTTGGAGAGCGTGTGGATTGTTGCCAAGGAAAAGCACTCTACCAAAGTGGAGGGGGGTTTTACTCTGAAAACGCTCAAGGAAGTAGCAAAAGGTTAGTATGTTCTACGAAATGCATTTTTAGGGTTGTGGAAACTTAGGAACGCGCATCCAGTTATCGTGCACCTATTGCAAAGAGACCTTAATTAAATGCGAATATTCGAATGTTATAGTACTGCTCCAATACCTCTATTAATTGTGTAAAAAATAATTAGCTGTAGAGAACAGTAACAAAGTGAAGCATCTAGAGAAAATGTCACAAATCAATCAAATTTGTATACCAGATGTCAGATGAATAGATGGATTGTGTTAAGAAGTTTGTAAAAAGTCTTCAAATATCGTTGGGCGGGAGAGTTGGGCTAGTTCCCGTTTTTATAGAGCTTTTCTTAAAGACCAACTTCAGCACTATGAGGAGAGGTCATTAGAACCAAACAAGCACCAATCACTTCCATAGTAATTAATGGATACGTACCAGTTCCTTCACTTTCCAACCTTTACACTTCTCCGAAATACTTTCCGGCTCAGGAACTTCATACCGCGAGATCCTGCACATACGCAATCTTCCTCAACGCACCTACTCCACGTANTCCTCCTCAACGCATCTACTTCCAGCACTGCAATCCTAATTCTATTATGCTTCATATCTCCCAATACTTATTCCTCGTCGCTTTCACTGATATACATCTAGTCGATAGACCACTCACCAAGTCGGCCGCATCGAAACATCTCAGTCCGTTGCAGCGTCTATTTCAACCTTTACAGGTGCTATACACATAACTCTTGCTCGAAAACATGCTTTTTTTGCTATAAGCGCCGGGCTTTCTTACTGCTGCTATCATCGTACATCATCAACACTTCATCTTTCACTCGCTCGTGAAAGATGTGGACAGCATAATAGGCGTCAAGTTTTCGCACTAGGCGAGAAATGGCCATTCCGTGCAAAGGTTCGTACACCCTTTTCCTAGGCAGGGTTTGCTAGAAAATTAAGAGCAAAGCGAGTAGAAGGTGCACGATTACTACAGCAACACCAGACAGCACTCAATTCAGGTTCAAAATTGCGAGCTTAGAACAAAACTGAGCCATAAAATAAATTAATGCTACGGATGCTCCTTCCACGACAGGAGTACTCGGGAGTACAAAGATTAAAATGTCATAGGATATGAAATATTATACTAATCAACCGAAAAACTACTTACGAGTTGCTGACAAATAATTTCGGTTTCCTTCTTAAATCACATCAGGATCGTGATGCAATATGCTCACGA